CCCCAAAACCCCAAAACCCCAAAACCCCATTAAGCCAAGTTTTACACTATTTAGAAATTGGATATACATATGATTAAAAAGGATTCGTTATTTAATTAAAGTCTCTATATAAAAATTTTAAAGGCAGATGCGTTCCAAATCTGAAGTATAATACTATAAAATGAAAAATGAGAAAAGTAATGGAAATGTGACTATTGATTCGGATGGGAATGATAGATAACAGAAGTTTATAGATGATGTCGAAAACTTAGCTAAAGGACTTACCCTTCAGCAAGCTTATGAGAAGATAGGAGGATTTACCTATTTTCACTACTGGGCCTCATCGCTTTTTGTATGGGGATTTTCAACTGGAGGTCTCTTGTTTTACGCTCTATCAATGTTAGAAAAAACTCCAAGATATTTGTGCTATTATGATGATGGAACAACCTACGAGTGTGAAGCTGACAAGACATTTTGCAAAGACCCTTCTATCAAGTACAAAATTGACTGGAATTACGACTCTAGTCTCCATAACTGGGTAGAAACTCTAGATCTCACTTGTGAAAGTTCAGCTAAAATAGGTCTGATTGGTTCCATTTACTTTGCAGGGTGGGCAGTTGCAGCTGTGTTCTTACCTAGACTGAGTGTAATTGTTTTGAATTTATAATGTGTAAACTTTAGGATATATTTGGAAGAAAGTGGGTTTACTTCTACTCAATGCTATTTCATGGACTTATGTACTTGGGAGTAATTTTATCACATAACTTGAACTTAACTATTGTGTTTATGGGATTCTTTGGATTCTGTTCCCTTGGACGAGCTTCAGTTGGATATCTCTATATGCAAGAACTTACACCAATCAAGCAATAAACTATCATTGGAACTATTCTCTAGATCATGAATGGACTAGTAACAGTACTTATAGCTCTCTATTTCTTGTATGTTTCTAAGCACTGGGAGGGATTTTAGATATTTGGGTGCGCTACAAATTTCCTAATCGTAGTTTCAATAATATTCTTACCTGAGTCACCGAAGTACCTAATTAGTAAAAAGCGCTATGAAGATGCTAGGAATTCACTGAGGATTATCGCTAGATTCAATAGACATCAAGGAGAGGTAAATTTTAAATTTGATAGAGAAGTCCTTGATGAGCTCTCAAGTTCTAAAGTAAACTAAACTTACTCAGTTGATGCTTCTCTTGATAAACAAGGAAAGCTTGCATAAAACACTGAAGATGCAATTAAAAATACCTAGGTCGGATGTAATCAAATGCAAAGCTATTCGACCAAAGATGACTAAGTAGAACCACTTATACTTAAAGTTGAGGAGATTAAAGAGGAATAGTAACTGAATGGGTCTTTAAAGGATCTGATTAAGATTAGAAGGCATATGATAAACTTGATCATTATGGTTACTATCTGGATTGGCTCTTCATTCAATTACTATTTAATCAATTTCCAGCTTAAGTATATAAAGGGTGACTTCTTTGTCAATACAATTACAGCATCCTTGACTGAAGTACCTGCTTACATCCTTAGTGGTATTTTGTATCAAAAGCTTGGTATAAGAATAGTACTTGTATCTTGCTTTATAATATCACTTGTAGGAGGAATATTCCTTCTAATATTCTCTAATTATACCGATGTCATTCCGGTATTCATTCTTCTTGCTAGATTTGGAGTGAGCGCTACTTTTAGTATTTGCTATCTCGCGAATGCCACTATATTTCCTACTATTTTCGCTGGAACTGCTTTTGGAATATGCAATATATTTGCTAAGATGGCTACAATTATCTCTCCAATGCTGGCTGAGGTAGATCCTCCTGTTCCAATGACAGTATTTTGCATTGTTTCAGGAAGCGCAGCAGTTTTATCGTTATTCATTCAAACTACTCCTAAGAAAGTAGAAAAACCTAAAGATAATGAAAGTGGTAAAATAGAAAGCGATTGCAAGACTGTTGAATGAACTTCGATATAAAGCAAAATATTAAACTGCTCTTGATGGTAAACAATATATCAAAATGATCTCTTGAAATCGATCAATCTTATCAGAATTAATTTAATATAATTCTTAATGTATTAGTATTAATGCGATCAAGCACTATTATTATATTGAGGGGTTTTGGGGTTTTGGGGTTTTGTTTACCAT